AACTGTTTAAAAGGGATATGTGATTAGGTATTTTTGTCATGAGCGAAGGCTGCATAGTGGAGTGGACCTGGGGGAGGGTTTGTAAAACAATGAAAAAAATTTTCTTTCACTTTTCCGAGAGGGTAGTATACTAGGGAGAAGGGTTAGGAGGGGAAAAAAGTGAAACAATGAATGAACAGAAACCCAAAGTCTCTGTAAATATTCATTGAAATTAATAATAAAATTTTTTTTAAAAATCAAAAGAGAAAAAAGAACTATAACTGGAAAGCAGAGGATGGCTATCTTTTGCATGCACAGAAAAGAGAGAGAGCGTCCACACACAAATAAAGAATGTAGAAAGAGACAGGAGAGATGGAGGACAATATGGCCACTTCCTGATAGTCTTCCAGTTCCTGGTCCTGGGGTCCATTCATGAGTCTGATTTTTAATGTCTTTTTAAAACTTACTGGAGGGTTAGTTAGTAATTGATTCCAACTCAGTGGTAATAAGTAAGTAAGTAAGCGAGATCAGTGTAATTTGAAGTCAAATGAGTTTTTAATGGAAGAAATTGTTATATTTTGGCTGATTAATATATTTTCCTTTCCCTTTTGTAATATAATTAGATTTCCTTTTTAGAGCTAAGTTGCAGTCAAATGTCTTGAGTACCCTTTGGAATTGGACGCTTGACTGGAGTAATACAAGGTTGATTAACATTTCTTACCAATAGCAGTAAAAAGAAATCCAGAATCCTACCTACCCTTGCTAAAGCCCAACATATTCAGCGTATATTCCTTGCAATCTCAAGAGTACTCAATAATACCTTTCCCAACATATTTTTCCTGATAAAATTAATCATAATCAGTTTCTGTTACTTACAACTAAAACATTCTAACATATACAGAAATTGGTACCAGAAATAGGACACAAAGAATGAAGTTTAGGGAAATAAGAATTGTTTGCAATTTGACTAGAGTTTGAGTTGTATCTTTTGTCACTTGTTATTATGTGCTGTCAAGTTGCCTGAGACTCATAGTGACCTGTGCCAAACTTATTGTCCTTGACACACCTACACCCAAATTACCCTAGTCACTGAATCAATTCAACTCATCGAGGGCCTTCCTCTCCCGTGCTGTCCCTTCACCCTCCCAAACATGAGGTCCCTCTCCAAGGACTGATTCCCCCTTGCAGCACGTCCAAAGTATGTCAGAAGGAGCTTCAGAATCCTTGTCTCCAAGGAGCAGCCTGGTCTCACCCTCTCTAAGATGAACCTGTCTGTTCTCCCAGCAGTACCTGGTATATTCAATGTTCTTCTTCAGCACCACAGCTCAAAGGCATCAATTCTCCTTCTATTATCCTTAGTCATTGTCCAGCTCTCTGAAGCATAGCAAGTAATTGCAAAGACTATTGCCTGTATAATGCTCACGTTAGTCTCCAGACTGACATCTCTGCTCTTTAGTACTCTGAAAAGGTCTCTGACAGCAGCCTTTCCCAATACGATTAATCTTCTTTATTGCCTGGCTGCTGGTACAAAGAGCATTTAGTGTAGAGCCAAGTACATTAAAGCTGTTAACAATCTCAATCTCTTCACAATCTATCATGATGCTGCCAATCAGCCCAGTGGTGAGATTATTTGTTTTCTTGATTTTGAGCTTCAATCAAAATTGAAGGCTGTAGTCCTTGACCTTCTGCAGCAAGCACTTCAGGTCCTCCTTTGTTTCAGCAAGCAGAGTTGTGTCATCTGCTTAATACAAATTGTTGATGAGTCTACCTCCAATCCTGATACCACGTTTCTCCTCATGGAGCCCAGCCTCCTGGATAATCGGTGTGCATATAGATTGAAAAGGTATGGAGATAGGACACATCCTTGGAGTACACCCTTCCCAATTTCAAAACGATGAAGTGTTTCCTTGCTCTGTTCTGATGACTACCTCCTGGTTCAAATATAGGCTTTGCATAAGCACAATCAAGTGTTCTGGGATTCCCATTCTTCTCAAGAGTCAGCCCAGTTTGTTGCGGTCCACACAGTCAAATGTCTTTTCATAGTCAATGAAACACAGATAGACATTCCTCTGGCATGCTCTGCTTTCATCCAAGATCCATCTAACATTAGCTATAATATCCCTTGTACCACGGCCTCTTCTAAACCCAGCCTGCACACCTGGAAGTTCTCTGTTGATGTGCTGCTCCAGTCATATTTTAATAATCTTCAGCAGAATCTTGCTTGAATATAATATCAATGATACTTTTTTATAATTTCTGCTCTCTATTGGGTCACCTTTCTTTGAAATGGGAACACATATAGATCTCTTCCAGTCAGTTGGCCAAGTGGTTGAACACCAGATTTCCAGATTTTTTAATTTCAGGACATCATCTGTTTGTCGAAATATGTCAATTGGTATGCCATCAATTCCTGGGACCTTGATTTTTTTCATATTTCTTTCAGAATAACTTGAACTTCTTCCTTCATCACCACAAGCACTTGCTCATATGTTGTTTCATGAAATTCTTCTGTGTAAACCAATTCCTTTTGGTACAATGTATACTCTTTCCATCTTCTTTTAATGCTTCCTGGGTCATTTAATATTCTGTCCAAAGCATCCTAAAGTATTGCAACTCGAGGCTTGAAATTGTTCTTCAGGTCCTTCTTCAGCTTAAGAAATTCTGAGCAAGTCCTGCCCCTTTGATTTTCTGACTCCAGGTGTTCGCATATTTCATTGTAATACTTTACTTTGTCTTCCCATGCTGTCCTTTGGAATCTTCTGTCCAACTCCTTAATATCTTGATTTCTTCCTATTGCTTTGGCTTCTCAGCGCTCTAGTGCAATATTCAGAGTTTCTTCTGACATCCACCTTGGTCTTTTCTTCCTCCTCTGTCTTTGTAAAGACCTTTCGCATTCTTCCTGGATGATATTCTTGATATCCTCCCACAGCACATCTAGTTTTCACTCATTAGTGTTCAAGGCCTCAAACCTATTCCTGATGGTTTTGAAATTCAGGTGGGATAGACTCAAGTTCAAATTTTGGTTCCTGTTGATTCCATTTTCTTCAGCTTCAGCTTGAAAATTGTAATTGGTAGTCTGTTCCACAATCAGCACCTGGCCTAGTTTTCAGAGATGATATTGAGCTTCTCCAGAAATTCTTTCCACAGACATAATTGATCTAATGCCTATGAATACCATCAGGTGGAATCCATGTGCATAGCATGCATTTTTTGTTTCTTATGAAACATATTTGCAATGAATAAGTCTTTGAATGTGCAAAATTCTGCCATTCTATCTCCAGCTTCATTTCTGTCACAAAGTCCATGTTTTCCACTTACTGATCCTTCTTCTCTGTTCCCAACTTTTGTCATTAGGAACTGGAAAACTTCTAATTGATACAGATCTATAACTGAAACATCGCCAGCTCTATATTTTCCCATATATAATATTGTTTGCTTTTAATCCAGTCCTATTTTTGGTTTTATGAGGTATATTATGTCATTTCTCTTTCATAATTGCAATCTTGTTCAAAATTTATTAGCTACAACAGAAGTGAAATGAAAAGGTCCATGTAGGCTGTTATGATTTCTTAGAAGATTAATTTTAAACTTACAGACACATCAATCAGCTACACCTTTGTCCTCTTTAAGTTTTGAGATTAGAATGACAACTTTGATTAAGCACTGCATATAAACTGATTGCAGAAGCAAAGGTATATATGTCAATGTACATATAAAAATCTATATCTAAAGATGTGGTCAGCAAGAAATGCAAATGATTGTGCTGCTAATATATAATTTATTTCCATGGTTACTACCTCACCAAGGTAAGATTCTCAGTCATCAGGAACAGTTTAGTAACCCTTTTCTCCCTCTTAAATAACTTCACAGATTGAATTTCAGAAGCTGGAGACATGTAAGTTAACCTTGAAGCAAGTCTAATTATTTTTTTGGTCTGCCATGGGCTTTTGTTTCTTTTGCAAACACCACTGTACCTTCCATTCTTCAGTAACATCTGCTTTTTGCTGATCTTAATACTTCATGTCTTTCTCAGACACTGATTCTTTCTTTAGAATTATACAAGTTCTTCTAGTTGTAAAACAAGAATCCGATTAGGTATCCCCGAAAACTATCTAGCTTGCTTTCTCCTAATACCAAAGGATCTGATGGTGTATCTAGCTCTAGAGAACACTGGAGTCTGGCCTGTGAGCTGCTCCAACACCTTGGCTGCCTATGTTAGTCTGTCTCCACACACTTGATGATAATATTTTACTTTGTTCAGCCAACACAGTACATCTTTTCTGAAGTCATTAAGTAAGTAAACTGGAAGAATTGAGAAGGTTAAAAAGGTTATATATATTGAGTAATATTTTTTTACTATCATTTACTGCTGTGCCTTATTGTTGTTGTTGTGTGCCATCAAGTAGGAACCAATCTATATAGGACCCTCCAACAGGTTTTCAAAGGCAATAAATCATATGAGAAGAGATTGCTGTTTCTTCTGTAGAGCAACTGGTGGATTCAAACTTCATGCCTTTGAAATTGCAGTGCAGCTTCTTACCACTAGGCCACCACTTAGGTTTGAACTAAGTTTTCTTCCCAGGAAATATCTATTCCATAAAATATGCCTTTTAACTACTGTCATATTTTACGCCTAAATTCACATTTCATATCCACTTCTGGCTTAACATTTTGACTTGTCTGTCATTCAAATAGCAGCTGCTAAAACCTGCTGGGTTCTTATTAAGAACACTGTAATTGGCAGCATTAGTCTATGGATTCTGACAACAGAAAACCTGAAGGCCAGAGGATCATCTCTGCATGTGGAATAAACTATCAGTTTTTTGATTGCCCTAGTTTTAAAGCAGAAATTTCCCATATGACTTCTTATCCATTTGACTGGTAAACAAAGATCTGGATGGGAAAGTATTGTGAAGGTATACTTACCACAGATGTGTTTAAGCTGGACATTACAGGGCTGTGGACAGCCATGCACTTGTTGTGCGGCTGCTTGCAAGCTGACATCAGTAACAGCACTTCGTTGGGATCCGTTGCAACTTTGACATCAGACAGTCCCTTTGCCCAAGCTGATGAGCCCACCAACCACAGAAATGAGAAGACGACAGTGACAATGAAGTCCTAGGGAAATAAGTAGAAAGACAAAACTGTCAAAGGGCATGTGAATTCTAGAAACAAACCCATTTTCATTTACAAACGTGTGTTTTTGCCTTTCAGAAATTTCCAAGATCTCATAACATTGTTTGTTGTTGTTGTTAGGTGCCGTTGAGTCAAATATGACTCATAGTGACCTTATTCTATTTTGTGCTATCCTCACACCTTCTGACACACAAGAGCCATAAGGCATCATGATAGATGGGAAGGAGATTGAAACTGTCAACAGTTTCATTTTGCTTGGATCTACAATTAACACACTTGGTACCAGCCATCAGGAAATAAGGAGACACATTGTCTTGGGCAAATCTGCAGTTAGGAACTTCTACAAATTATTGAGGAGTAACAATGTCAGTTTGAGTACATCTGATTCAGGCCATATTCTTTCCGATCACTTGCTATGCATCTGAGAGTTGGCCAATGAATAAGGATGATGGGGAAAGAATTGACATCTTTGAGCTGTGGTACCAGAGAAAAGGAGTGAACATCCCATGGATGGCTAAAAGAACAAAGAGATATGTCTTGGAGAGGGTGCAGCCAGAATTCTCTTTGGAGGCAAGAATGATGAGATTTTGCCTCACATACTTTGGGCAATGTTACTAGGAGAGGCTATTTCTTGGAGAGGGGCATGACACTGGGAAGGATTGGAGGGTTGGCAAAAGAGAGAAAGACCCTCAACCTGGTTGATTGAAATGGTGAATTCCATAGTGTTAGAACCAGGCAAATAATATTAGAAAGCAAATAAAAGAAGTTTCACAGTACATACATACATATATACAAACATATATATACGTTTGTGTACATACATATATCTCTCTCTCCACTCTTTACACTCTTTACATCTAACCTTTAGATTCCAAAGACAAGTTCTTTCTATAAAATGAAGCATTATGAAAAAAAATTAAAGATGAATACATCATCACAAAATAGAAGATAATTCATTTATGTAACTTCCAAAGTACATCATCACATAACTGCTAAATTACATCATTATTTAACTGCCAAATAATTTCATCACATAAATATTAATAAATAACTTACAAACAACTGAGAATCATGGTTCAACCAAGTTGATACATAACCAACCACCACAACAAGGATTACTTACTCCTTGAAACTTGGTGTTTGTTAATGTCAGCTTTACATCGTTAATGTGCACAAATTGTCAAGTAGGTATTTTGTTACTGTCACAATGCAAAATGTCACATAATAAGATAAACAATAGATAAAGAATAAGCGTATATGTGTCCACATGGGATTTAGCTATATATTCTCCCCAGTGTGTCTAATTCTTTTTTAAATTATTATTATTAATTTTAATGAAAATTTACAGAAATTTTAGATTTCCATTCATTTCTTTTTTTAATTTAGTTTGTTTATTTTTCATTTCAATGAACATCTACAGAGATTTTGGAATTCCATTCATTCATTGATGCACCCTTCTCCCCGCACAAACCCCTCCCCACCCCCCCCCGTTTGCTCCTCTCCTTGAAAAGCAAAAGAAAAACTCCCTCATTGGTACACAATCCCCCATACACATCCCCCTACCCCCAAATATAATCCATTCTGCAACCCTCATTGCGTACTCCTACGGTAAAAACAATGCCCTAAAATTATTGTTGCACTTTTCTCCCTGTGCACTCTTCCCCTCCAGTTCATTCTTCTCTTTGTAAAGTAAAAGAAAAATTTTTTCATTGTTATACAATCCCTCCCCTCAAGTCCACTCCACAATGCAGCAGCCTTCGTTCTGGATGCCATGATATCTAATGCCATATCTGTATGCCATAATATCTAATCACATATCCCTTTTAAACAGTTCTCTCTCTCATCTGTATCAATGCAGTATACATTATGGAACCCATCTTTCTCAGTCTCCCCCCCACTTCTATGTCAGTCCCATTTTACTACAGTGGCACTACACAGTAGTTGTCCTTTTGTGACTGAAATATTTCACTCAGCATAATGTCCTCCAGGGTCACCCATTTTGAATAATATTTCATTAATTCCTTGTTTTCAATGCAGCATAGTGTTCTATTGTGTGAATACACCACAGCTTCTCTATCCATTCTTTTGTTTATGGGCACTTAGGTTGTTTTCAACTCTTTGCTATTGTGAACAAAGAAGCAATAAACATGGGTGTGCATATATCTGCTTGGGTAACGGTATGGTTTCTTTGGAATATATACCAAGTAGTGGAACTACTGGATCAAATGGTATTTCTATTTGCAACTTTTTGAGAAAGTGCCATACAGCCTTCCATAATGGTTGCACCATTTTATACTCCCACCAACTGTGAATAAGGGTTCCAGTTTCTCCACAACCTCACCAGCATTTGTTGTTTGCTGTTCTGTCAAATTTTTGCTGTTCTTACTGGAGTGAGATGACAGTTATTTTGACTTGTATCTCTCTTAGAGCTAGGGATTTTGAGCATTTCTTCATGTGTTTGTTTGTCGGCTGAATGTCTTCTTTGGTGAAGTGTCTGTTCATATCCTGTGCCCATTTTTCAATTGCGTTGTTTACCTTTACCTTGTTGTGGTGTTCGAGTATATATATTTAAAGTCTAAATGTGTGTTTATTTTATATGCTGTTACTATGTACCATCCAGTTGGAACCAACATATAGTTAACCCTCTGGCATGTTTTCAGGGGCAGTAAATTGCATGGGAGGAGACTGCCCACTGTCCTTCTGCAGAGGAGCTGGTGAATTCAAATCCCATGTCTGTGGGTTGGCAGTGTAACTCCTTACCACTAAACCACTAGAGCTCCCCGTTTTATGTGTGTGTGTAGAATAGAAATAGTTTCATAATAATTAAATAAATATTATATGCTGTTGTTGATGTCATCAGATTGACTCCTAGTGACCCTATAAACAACAGATTTGAATACCGGTCCAATCCTGGGCATCCTCATCTTCTATGCTACACTGGAGCCTGTTGCTGCAGTCCATATTGAACCACCTCCCGCCCCGTTAGGAGATTCCCTCTCTTCTGCTCACTCTCCACATTTTAAAGCATGATATCCCTTTCCAAAAAATAGCCTCTTCTATTAACACGTCCAAATATGAGAGACAAAGCTTCATGATCCTTGCTTCCAAGGAGCTCTCTGGTTGCAGGTTTTTTCCTCCCAAGGCATACCTTTTGGCAGCCCATATTTGGCAGCTGGATACCCAGCATTCTTATCCAACACCACAAGGCATCAATTCTTCTTCTATCATCCTTATTCATGGGCAGCTCTCAAAAGC